GTCAAGCTTTGCGAAGAACTTTCCCCCATTCAGCATAGTGAACAGATCTGCCGGGACTGGCAGAGGATAATGATGCTGTTCTAGAGCTGCGTTGAGACCTGTAGAGAAGTCAGCACATATACGTATCGTGCCGTTGGCCTTCTTGATAACGACTATAGGTGCTGCCCAACTGGAGTAAGAAACGGGAGTAATAACTCCTTGTCGTTGAAGGCGATCCAGCTCTTCATCTACTGTTGCTAATGTAGCATACGGTACAGGTCTCTTTGGACGAAAAGCAGGCTTAGCCCCATGTTTCAACCGAAGTGTTGCTTTCATAGCAGTGCACCGACCTAATCCAGGTTCAAAAATGGTTGAAAACTCTGTCATCAGCTTCTTCGTATACGCTTCTGGGTCATGTCGTTGTGATACCAGGTTGCATATGGTATTTAGCGGGACATCAGCCAATTTTAGCTGGTCGAACCAATCTAAACCAAGTAAATTTAGATCAGCTGGCGTTATATAGCATACCCCAGTAAACGACGAATCTCGGAAAACAACTTTACATTCCAATTGTCCTAACAGACGAAGATAATTACCACATGCTGTGCGAGGCTTTTGTGTTGTGTGCTGCAGGCTTGGGCTGCCCAACTTGGTCCAATTTTTGCGTGAGAGGATAGTGACATCAGATGCAGTATCTATTTGCAATCTACACAAATAACCGTTAATATTAAGAGTAATAAATTTCCTCTCACCTGGTGATGAACTTTGGCAGGAAGATATTAGGCTCAATGCATTGGTACTGGATCTAGGAACAGGCTTCTTAGCACTTCTGGATCGCTTTGGCTTTTTCTGTAGGCAAAAGCCATCTTTATGACCGATGACTTTACACTTCCTGCATCTATGCTGCCTAAATGGGCAGTTCCGTACATAGTGCCATGAACCGCAGTGCCAGCAAGCAGAAGGTGGATTCATTTTGGATTTTTGGTCCGAATTGGAGCGGGGTGAACTGGGTGTAGCACGGGCAGACTTATAATGATTAGGTGGCTGCTGTACCAAATGAATTTCAGATCGGCTTGAACTACCACTCTGAACTATAGTCGAGTCTCGTTGTAGGTTAGTGAGACGTTGGTACTCATGAGCCATATCATTAAGCGTAAGCTTTGGATCTTGCTCCAACCGACTTAGTAGCCTTGTTCTAATGTCACTGAACTTACTCGACTGGAGGCTGCAGATGAGAATGAGGGCTTTGAACTGGTCTTCCGACAAAGACTTCAACCGAAAGCGTTCGCATTCACGGTTGACGATGCCCACGTGCGTAAGAAAATCATCATCTTCGTTCATAATAAGCTTCAAACATCGATAACGAGTATTAAATAGTGACGAGTTGTCTCCAAAGTGTTGGCTTAAAGCCTGAACAGTCTCAGAAAACGAACAATCTCGTGGGTTCAAATTCATTTGTTTCCTTAACAGCTCCAACATACGTTCCTGGAACTGTTCATATCGTTTACCTTGACGTTCCAGTAAAGATTCTAACTGTTCAAGGTTAATTGACATTGTGAATTGTGAGCCCCGTCGCCACTGATATGTTCGTCACTTAAGATGCTTGATGCTATTACGAGTTTACCTTGGTCGATAAACGCGAACGATACTTTTACCAGCTTCCAGGGAGGCTACCTTGAATCCCAGAATCGAAATAGAAGACTTTGTAGGCGTAGAAGTATATTCTACAAACACCCAGCAATCCAGTACAATCAAGCATACAACTCTCGTTTATTTATACAACATAAGAACGTCCTTGAGACAGTTAAGAAAATAGCATACTAAAATACACTGCAGCCAATCACAGCCATTGATTTTGCTGGTGGGAATTGAAATCTCAAGGTCATCTGATCAGCCCATGCTGGCGAACGTGAAAACCAAAATACGGCATTATCAAGCGAATTTTGGGGATCTAACATCCCCAACAGTTAATGTCTAACTTCGATCAATTTACGGAGATGAGCAACCTCATAATACACCGTCTTCGATAGTTACTATCTCTACACACAATCAGGTTGAACTTCACTGGTCACGACTTCCCACCGAAACGCGGAGAAGATTGCTCACGGAGCTAGTCACTAATAAGCACAGATAATTAATTGTACTATGCCGTTTTGAAAATTGTTAAGTTACACATTTGAAATCATGAACCGACCAGTATTAGACCAGCATTAGAAACCTGGAAGCACTGAAAAACTCCCGTTTCGTCCTGATATGGCAATTCCACATTTAAACACATTATTTTAGCTTTAGTGTAGTGAAGGAGAACACAGGTGAGGACAACCGAATTGTATTTAACGCAAATAACAGAGTTACTCAGTAAAATAGGAAAACCATATCGTAAATCGTTAATTTGCAAAACATCTATCCATCATCAACCCATTTTCTGACATTTCCCTTTTTCATGCATTTCATACAAATTCCATTGTGTTCCCATTCTTCCTCTCTTGATCTTTCCCCATCTTCTGCTGCCAGATATTAAGTTTTCACTCGCGTCATATACTACTTATAAGTAGCGCACACCACAGTAGTATGCACAATTTTATTATTCAAAGATTATGATAAAATTCTTAATATGTAAAGATAATTTACAGTGAAAAAAACAAACAATGTGATGAACTTTCTTTCTGAACAATCCAAAAGCGTACGTTTTATCTAATGGCATCGCATCTCCTTGAAGAATTGAACAGTGAAATCTCTAAGCATCACCATCTATATAATGCGTGTTGACCTTAATCGAGAGAGTTAGTTTACCACGCGATGAAGTCGCTAACTCCATGCCCACCCCTTCTCCCTTATCTGGGATAAGGACCAAGGTCAACCCCAGAGGGGCTCCAGGCGGAGTTTCCCTCAAGAATTGAATAGCGAATCGATCAAGCATCATTACATAATACGCACTACCTTAATAGATCACTGCTAGAGTATTCCATAATAATAATACGGAGTATCAGGGTGTTAGCTTCATGATTACTTAATTCAAGCTATTTTATACAGTGTAAACCATTCAACAAGAACAACAACAAAAAAGATTTGATTTTGACCAATTTGGTCTAGTGTGCTGGTACGGGTATGAGGGCGGTTGTCACTTCACGGCTGCCCACACCGTGCAAGGTTGTTTCTCGAGGAACCTGAAAAGGAAGATGCATTAGTATTGGTCTTAGAGACCTGGGTGCGTGACCGCAGAGTCCAAGGGACAACTGCTTGAGGCAGGTCACACACGGCCTTTTTATGAGAAGTACTTTGTGTGTTAGCTCTGCTCATGACAGCCCTTAGTGGACACCCTTACCAACAGAGACGGAAATCCGTGAGATAGGGTGAGGTGTGACACTTTTAGGATCGACCTTTTCTAACCCTTCCTTCCTTGTGGGAAGGCAGCAGCATCGCTGCAGATGCTAGTTGTCCGAGGGAAACACCTTGCTGCTGTCACACCCCTATGCAGTCAGCAGTAAGGTTTCGACCTCAGACCTTGAGTAGCTGCTTTTTGTCTCATCGCTCTCCAATCGACCTACCTGGCATGGTAGGACCTTCAGGGACATAAGTTCCAGCCAATACAGCTCGATTGGGTCATCACGATAGTCAAGCCCAACCATCACGTCATGGTAGCAGCTTCGGTCGGTGCATACATTCGTTGAGCTCTCTCAAATCCTAATCTTCTGGATTCGTCAGCACCCCTACCTTTGTCTTTCTAACCTCATCTCACTGAATTATACTTCCTGAATAATATCTTCGAGCCTTAATCTTCTTCATTAACATTAATACCTCTACTATCTCTATCACTATGGGATTTGCGTCATTGACATTTGCGTCTCTGTGCTAATGTGTTATGGCAACATGAACTAATGTACATACGTACGAAGTTTTACGTTGCAACTGACTGACTGACTGACAACAAAAAAGAACTAAACAATCACCAGCATTATCTAATAAAAAGTTTCCTTTTTTATTCACGATAAAAAAAAGAAATAATGATCCATGAAGAAATTTGATCGAACTTTTATTATCATACATTATTTCATATGTGAAATTTATTCAGCCAATTAAAATTGTTCATATACTGATGGTCTATATTAGCTAGACAATGTCAGCAATGACCTACTATGTGACAGAATAAACCAGATTCTAGCGTAGCAGGAAATCAGGAAGAAGCGCTGGAAGTGAATAGAACACACACTGAGAAAATCGCCCAACTACTTTACAAGACAAGTCCTAGCTTGCAATCGTCAAAGCCATAGGGAAAAAGACAGACCGAAAATAAAAACACATCACATCGAGATATGAAGATGATAGACTTGAGAAGAATGAACAACAAGTAGATAGAACTAGAAAGGAAGGCCTAAGATATAGATTAGGTTACAGAATACTGGCCGGTGACCTATGCACGCACCATTAGAAGCAATAGGCATTAGTAAGTAAGTAAGTAAGTAAGTAAGTAAGTAAGTAAGTAAGTAAGTAAGTAAGTAAGTAAGTAAGTAAGTAAGTAAGTAAGGTGTGTAAGTAAGTAAGTAAGTAAGTAAGTAAGTAAGGTGTGTAAGTAAGTAAGTAAGTAAGTAAGTAAGTAAGTAAGTAAGTAAGTAAGTAAGTAAGTAAGTAAGTAAGTAAGTAAGTAAGTAAGTAAGTAAGTAAGTAAGTAAGTAAGTATGTAAGTAAGTAAGTATGTAAGTAAGTAAGTAAATAAGTAAGTAAGTAAGTAAGTAAGTGCATAAGTAAGTAAGTAAGTGCGTAAGTAAGTAAGTGCGAGAGTGCGTAAGTAAGTAAGTAAGTAAGGTGTGTAAGTAAGTAAGTAAGTAAGTAAGTAAGTAAGTAAGTAAGTGCATAAGTAAGTAAGTAAGTAAGTAAGTAAGTAAGTAATGCTTTAATAAAAGTTACACTAAACAGCTTAATAAATAAATTATCATTGATTGATAGTTCGTTCAACAAGAGTACATTAAATGTTATTTCATAGTTATTTTTTATTCAGTAAACCTTTTAAATTTTCAACTTACAGTACATTCCGATTCATCAATATAACATGTTTGATTAGATGTTGTCTCATTCCATAAATGTTCACCAATTATTGCACTATTCTAAAATCATTAAAAACAAAAAACAGGGAAATTTCTGTCTATCGTATTATAGAAAACTATCGATGATAATGAAAAAAACTTAAATTAAACAATCATTACAAACTGGATATCAGTGGATGAATTTCCGCCTGGTATATTAAATAGTCAGCATTGGGGCATTCACAATGCTCGGTATCAGATACAGCAGCAGTAAGGTGTTTCCCTTGGACAACCAGCATCTGCAGCGATGCTGCCTTCTCACAGGGAAGGAAGGAAGGGTTAGAAAAGGTCGACCGTAAAAATGTCACACCTCATCCTACCTCACGGATTTCCGTCTCCTTAGGTAAGGGTGCCCACTAAGGGCCTTTAAGAACGGAGCTAATCCCCAAAATACTTTTCATAAAAAGGCTGTGCGTGACTGGCCTCAAGCAGTTGTCCCTTGGACTCTGCGGTCACGCACTCTGGTCTCTAAGACCGACACTAATCTATCTTCCTTTTCAGGTTCCTCTAGAAATAACCTTCCACGGTGTGGGCAGCCGAGAAGTGACAACCGCCCTCATACCCGTACCAGCACACGATACCTAATTGATCAAAATCAAATCCTTCCTACACCCCCTAGTACCTTTCTTATCTCCACGACAAACTCTTCTCACATTCCTTTATCACATTGCACAGCTAATGCAAACAGTGCGAGTTCACAAAACGTCATCAGATACAGACAGCACCGTCAGTTCTTGTGAAAAGAGTCAAACATTAAAACTGTGATCCAGAATCCAATGGTTTACATGGTGAACCGCAATCGATTCGTGATACTGTATGACCATCTTTAGTGATCAGCTGTCACTCAGTCAAGATAGCATCTCATAGAAACATTGATATTGTATTCGGTTAATCAGTATAAAGTTGTGTATAATGTTGTTTTACTCTGAAATCATGAGGCAATCATTGTAAGATCACTGTTAGAAACCTAGAAGCACAGGATAGCAGTCACATACTAGTGTGAGACTAATTAGCAATGGGCATCCACGAACATCCACCACGTGGAATCGAACCGAGAACCTTATATTTCGTGCGTGAACACTTATAACCTCTAGACCAATGAGTTAGTACCCAACGATAGTAACATTTAACTTAAATCAATCTAAGGTTTTACGCAAACTCATCTTCTATTACCAGTGAAAATATAGTTTTACTCATCAAAAGGAAAGAGTATGAGTAACAGGAATCATCTCTACTGTTCGAATACCACTAGATGAACATGATTTTGTGTCACAGAATTTTATTGTATTCATAACACTAACAGACTGTACATAATACGAACTCTATTCATGTAAATTGAATAAAACAATTTGGATTTTTCATTAGGAGATCTGGTTTTGAACAAGTAATGCACACATCTATTAGATATTCATCTCGTGAATACTGTCACCTTTACTGTAAGCTGATAAATTGTTTCCAATTGTTGCCTAGCAAAATGTAACATTTACTAAGCTAGTAAGTTCAATAGCACATTTAAAACTCTCTAAACTACATAAAAGCCTTATATCGAAATTCAAACATTAATACAAGCGACAGTTAAGAGAATAATATCGTTTTTCTGCAGTTATATTGAGAGAAAAAACACAACTCATCTCTTCGTATTCTGATATTTTTAGGGTAACATTCGGCTTTAAAAAAACAAGTACCCTAATGCAAGCAGAACGGTTGACTGAGTCATGCAAGTAAGTTCAGACTACCTGGTTGGGGTCCACAAGGCTATCGTAACCGGTGGTTAGAGACTTTGGACGACATGACTCAAAATCGTTTGCAATGAATTAGATAAGTCATCTCTTCTTTGTCTTCTCTCAAATTCTAATCTTCTAAATTCCTCATCACCTATATCTTTCTTCCTTCAAGTTTCTTTCATTGATTTATACATCTTGAATAATAACTTCGAACTCTAATCTCCTCCATTACCACTTAAACTCCTGCTATCTCTACCATTATGGGATTTGAATTGATAGTTGCATCTCTATGCTAATGTGCTATAGCAACTTGAACTGATATTACCAACGTACGAAGTTCTACGTTGCAACTGACTGACTCAAAACCACAGTAATGATATAAAAACAAGTGAATGCAACATGCGTTTGTACACGGAAAAAATAACATCTTACATTGAATTAATTTGTTGAGAAAGTGTTAAGCTCGTCCCTAGGTATGCTTGAAACTATCACGGGTTCACCTTAGTCGATAAACAAGAAAAGGAGACAATGAACCAGCGTCCAAGTAGGCCACTCTGATTCATTGACCCAAAGGAACTAACGAAAAAGTCTTGATATTGCGTAGAAAGTGTATTCTACAACCACCCAGCAAGCACAAAAAATCGCATTTATTTATACACCATAGAGATGACGTCTTTGGGAGAGTCACAAATTATAGCACACTAAAATAACACAATAACTAATCACAACCAAAGCTTTTCCTGGTGGGAAATGTGATCTCAAGGTCAACTGTGATCAGCCCATGTGCATAAAATCCAAAATAAAAGCATTTATCAAGCGAGTTCTGGGGATCTAACATACCCAACAGATAGGTTTGTCTGTGTAACGATATTATCTGATGACATGATTCATAGCCATATTCTAGAAAATATAGTTTCATTATTTCAAACAACCAAATGACATGACCTAGTTCTTTTTTCATTATTAAGTTCAAAATCTTGAGCATAAAAATATCATTTCCGATTTTATATAGAATAATTTCTCTCAGTTAGTCAGTCAGTCAGTCAGTTGCAACGTAGAACTTCATACGTATATACATAAGTTCAGGTTGCCACACCACATTAGCACAGAGACGCAAATGTCAAATCAAATCCAAGAGTGATAGAGATAGTAGAGGTATTAATGGTAGTGAAGAAGATTAAGGTTTGAAGATATTATTCAAGAAGTATATAATTCAGTGAGATAAGGTTAGAAAGACAAAGGTAGGGGTGTTGACAAATCCAGAAGATTAGGATTCGAAAGAGCACAATGAATGGATGCACTTGCGCCATTGCAAACGATTTTGAGCCATGTCGTTCAAGGTCTCTAACCATTGGTGACTTTCGTCTCGTGGACCCCAACCAGGTAGCCTACATCTACCAACATGACTCAGTCCACTTGTCAGTGACTTCTGTCAGTTATTTGGTTATTGTACCTCCACATACATTTTAGTTTGTTCTGGTTTAATTAGATTAAGCCCTTTTTATAAATTGTTCAACAGACAGAGTCATTCATTAATAGTAACGACTTATCTGTACCCATTGCACTTTGATTATTGTCATGTTTGTGTTGAGCAGACGTGATTAGAGCACTGCTTACATCCCTACGTACATATTCATTTTTACTGACTTGAATGTTAGTCGCTAAAATAATTCGACAACTCATTCATTAGCTTTAGTATATATATATATATATATATATATATATATATATATACATGTATATATATCTGTATATTTTAATCCTATTTCATGGACTTGCTCAACAAGTCGCTCACTTGCTTGTTCTTAGGCACTTGCATAACATTTTCACTTAGTATGCCTGTTAAGTTTTGTGATCTCTGTGTGTGGTACGACAACGCTTTGAATTCATTTCCTTATTTATACCACCGATGGACATTATCTAATACCAGATATCACAGTATGAGCAGTATACGAAGTCTAAGGAATTATAATGAATAACGATCACCACAGAACTGACAGGCTCCATCATGCACAACAAAGTGAATGATAAGAAAAATCCTATAAACTGATGACTATAGATAAGTAGTATGTTTTTCTTACTGCTTAACTTATTGTTTTTTTAAGTAGACTATAAGGAAAATAATCAAAAGTAATCAATAGTGATATTGTTGTACTATTTATTTTTCTTGAATCATACTTTTTGTAGTGATGAGAAGAGGAAGTAAGTTAATCTAATTTTTATCCATATATCAGTGTTTATTTGTGTCCTCATGTATAGGAGACTTTTTCTTTGTCATAGATAACAAAAGATACGTCTATCTAACAACAACATTACGTATATTCGGCTATCATAGGTGTCTTCCAAGCATTGCTCGTAAGACCACTGAGTAAGCACTTCTGGGGTTGGGAAAAGGGTACTAAGGCGACGATGACAGATCAGTAGATGAAGTTGTAAATGTTCATCAGTTGAAGTGACTGGGACAAGTGTTTGGTATGCCCAACCACCGACTGCCTCGTCGAACTATGTTCTGTGGTGTAGGAGTAGGTTGGAAGAAAGTTAGGGTCGGCCAAACCAAAACATGTGACAAATCCATGAAGTCACTGACAAGTGAACTGAGCCATGTTAATAGATGTAAACTAATCTGGTTGAGGTCAGTGAGTAAACTCTAACCGATGGTTAGAGACTTTGAATGACACGACTCAAAATCGTTTGTAATGTGGCGCAGGAGCATTCACTCTTTGTCTTCTCACGAATTCTCATCTGCTGAATTCCTCATAACATTTTATTTTCTCTTCTTAAATTTATTTTACTGAAATAAACTTCTCGAATTATATTATAGATTATCAATCTTTTTAATTCATTGCAAATACTTCTACTGCCTTTACTACAATGAGATTTGAATTGACAACAATTTGTGCTCTGTGTGCTAAAGTGGTATGGCGAATTGAAAGGATGTACGTACGTTCATAACTTCTACATTATAGATGAGTGAGTGACTGACATGTATAGGAGATTTAAAGAATGCATATTTGTGAGTCAATAATCACAATGAAATTAAATAGATGACGTCACTACATATGAGAAGACTGAGGCAGGAGCGGAAGATTGTGTTATGCAAATTTACACTCTGAGTCAATTAAAAACGAAAACATTACATTAAATACTCTATTTGCACACCATCTTTCAGTCGTGACTTCCAACACTCCATCCTTCTTCCATTCCTGTTGCTGCTTCCTTTCCTTCCTGTTGGTACTCCATTTACTTCTTGCTTTTGCTCCATTTGCTTTCCGTTTTCCTCTTCTGACCGTAAGACTTCTTCTTTGACGTCCCTTCTTATACTACTTATATCGTTCGTATAAGTAGCACACACCACACATATAATAGGCAAAAGTGCAAATACACCTGTCTTCCTACTATTATCCACTTGTACTTTTGCCTATTGTATGTGTAGTGACGTAATCTCTATTCCATTTCATTGTGATTATTGACTCATTAGGAATTGCCTTGATATTAGTTTAACATTTTCATACATAAATATTCATGTATCTATTAGAGTATAATAAAGCCTGATGACGATCAAATCGAAAACAACAATATTGTTCCTCCTATATGTGTGATTCATTGAACATCATTTGATGAAACAACTAGTTAACAGTGTAAAATTTCGTAGTTAAACAAAATTATCATCTTAAAGCTTTCCAGAAGAAATAATGATAAGAAAGTATTTATTCACTGAAATGATTTCTACTAACCTCATTTATGTGTTTTTTTTTATTAATATACTAAATGCAAACATTGTGTATTTTCCTTGTTTGTTGTAAAAGACTGTTTCGAAAACTCCAACACCTAATTATTCACATAACAAAATTGTAATTTTATTTGTAACCATGAATTCATCAATGTTAGACCACCATTAGAAACCTGGAAGCACTGGACGACCGTTTCGTCCTGGTTTGGGACTAATCAGCACTCCACATCCACGACTCCTGCACCCCGCAGGATTCGAACATTGATCGATTCATGGTTACAACTAAAACTTAACAATCTTCACAACAACCCCGCAATGCAATTACATGTGTCCACTAGTGACTAACTTGGTGAGGAATCTTCTCCGAGTTCTAGTGGGAAGTCGTGACCAGTGAAGTTCAAACCTGTTCGGATGTATACAGGGTATGAATTTGATCAAGTTAGACATTAACACCGTTAGATACCGGCTCAGTGGTCTAACGATTAGGGCGTTCGCGCACAATGCCGAAGGTCCCGGGCTCGAATCCTGTGGGGTGCAGGAGTCGAGGATGCGCACTGATGACGAGTCCCATACCAGGAAGGAACGGCCGTCCAGTGCTTCCAGGTTTCTAATGGTGGTCTAACATTGATCGATTCATGGCTACAAATAAAACTTAACAATCTTCACAACAACCCCGCAAAATAATTGTAATTGCACAGATTGGTTTCTTTTTATCTTCAACCAGTCAAATCAACCAACATGAACCGGTGTCAGTTTTCTTTAACAATCCGTTTTCTTTCCATTGAAATCATAAAAATCGATTATTGTTAGACTACTATTGGAAACTTGGAAGCACTGAACTGCTGTTTTGTCCTACCTACTATGAGACTCATCACCCACACTTGAACGCCTTATGTCTACACCCCTGAGCAGGCATCCAACGGTGTTGATGTCTAACTCCGATCAATCGCTTAAATTATGCAACCTCACCTATTGTGTTCGATTAAGTAACTAATGTAACTGCCGACATCCAACAGAGTTGGACTCCATTGATCACGGCTTCTTGCTAGAACTCCGGCCATTTCTTCCTAGCAGATGACTCATCATTTTCTCCATAACTCTACAATGAATTAGTTTTCTAACTTCAAACTTTCCTCATCTATCAAGCTATTGAGTAAAATTATAGTTATTCAATTGACAAGCTTCGCTGTTAACTTGTATTGACAGTTAGATTATAAACTACCAATTATATATATATATATATAGGTGATGGTGTTTCATTCTATGAGCTGAATGTTTTGATTGTGGAGCTTTCATCATTGTTCTTCTTCTGAACAAAACATCATCAACACCATCTTCAAATAGAAGTGAAGCATTGGAATTTCGCCACGTTTGACCTGTAGCTTGCTCTGCTAACCTCGACCTTGATTAGTTAGTAGAATAATAATGAAAGCTACACAACCAACTAAACATCCAGCTTAGAGAACGAAACATCACCACCGCAATCATCCACCTGAGCTACAAATCTTCGCCACCATCTCAATATTATATAACATATATATATGCATAGATAGACAAACACTACTTACTGTCCAATTAGGTGTGACTGAGACAGCTGAATATAATGTACCGGAAGAATTATGCAACGATTCATTGTTCACTTGTTGTTGTTGTTGTTGTTGTTGCAACTGCTGCTGACTAAAAGTTTGAAAGAAGAAGAAAAGGAACAAATAACAACAGTCATAAACAATTAATTTTGTTTATCAGTAGAAACATTCCATATACACATAAATCTATGTTTATACAGATATTTGTGATAAAAAATAATCCTGAAGATGACAGACAATGATAAACAAAGACCTATTTAATTGTTATTGTTGTTTTTCAGCTGAAGTGTAATTTTTTCTGTATTTTTTTACTACTTTTTTACAATATACTACTTATTTGTGTAACTACTTACTATCAGGTGGCGTTTGTAAATATTGTATTATCAGTTACAGTTAAGGTGATTTGTGTTTTTTTACGCATTGAAATAATCAATCAATCATTGTTAGACTATCTTTAGAAACCTAGAAGAACTGGACAACCATTTCGTCCTGGTATGGAACTGATTCATCAGCACTGCGCATTCACAACTCCTGCACCTCACAGGATTCGAACCTAGAACCTAAGGTCTTGCGTGCGAACGCCTAACTTCTAGTCCACTGAGTCGGTATCTAACCGTGGTAATGTCTAACTATGATTGATCTAGAGATATTGTGCGAACTGACCCATTTGCCATTGTTACACTGGGTTGAACTCCACTGGTCACGTCTTCTCACTAGAACTCTGAGAATTTCCTCACAAAGCTAGTCACTAGTGAACACATTTTACGAATCGTGGATGCGCATTGACACTGATGAGTCCCATACCAGGACCAAACGGCCATCTTTCAGTGGTGTGGTCTAACAATGATTGAATGATGATTTTAGTGTGTAAATATTGTATTGCTGTAAATTCCTGAATAGTCCAACAACGCGTATGAACCTGACGTTCGTGACAAATATATATATATATCATATATTGATTAGCTGGTTAACTTTAGGCCAATCAATAATCTGTCAATAATACTGTGCTTAATCTGACCAAAATGTTTGTTTTTCTATGAATTTGAGAGGAGAATCTTTTTCCATTCTTTTTTTTCTCGATTTGATGCAATTTTTCTGTTTCTTAAAACAGAAAATACAATTTTGATTCACATGAAATGGTGTGTGTGTGTGTGTGTGTGATTATTATTAATTATTGTATTGAAAAGAAAACTTTAAGTAGTCTAAATTATAATTATTGAGTGAGTGATCAGTCGAAAATTAATCGATAATCAATTTTATTTTGTACTCTATGTAATATTCAGTCAGTCAGTCAGATGCTACGTAGAACTTCGTACGTAAGTACATCAGTTCATGTTGCCATACCACAACATCAGCACAGAGATATAATTGTCAATTCAAATCCAATAGTAGTAGAGGTAATAAGGGTATTAAAGTAATCGGAGATTTTAGGATTAGAAGATATTATTCAAGAAGTATGATTCAGTGAGAAAAGTTTAGAAGGTCAAAACTAGAGGTGTTGAAGAATACAGAAGATTAGGATTTGAGAGAAAATAAAGTATAAATGCACATGTGCCATTGCAAACGGTTTTGAACCATGTCACTCAGGGTATCTAACCATCGATTATTATCATCTCGAGGACCCCAACCAGGTAGTCGACAATTACCGACATGGCTAAGTCCACTCGTCAGTGTATATTCAATATTAATTAACATGAATTGAGGAAACACTGTAGTATGAAGTACTACTACATTGTAAAGTTCATGATAGTTTAGAGTACTAGGTGATTAGCACAATGAACTTTAATGAAACAATTACACATTCGTAACCAGTTGACAGTGAGTCAGTCAGCTACAACGTAGAACTTTGTACGTACGTACGTATATCACAGTTCAAGTTATCATATCGCATTATCATACAGAGATGGAATTGTCAAGTCAAATTCCATAGTGGTAGATCTAGTAAAAGTATTGGCGATAAAAGAGAAGATTACGGTTCGCAGAAATTATTCAATGAGTATAACACAGAGAAATAAATTTGCAAGGAAAAAAATAAAGGTGATAAAGAATTCAGAAGACTAGAACACATAAAAAGTGAACAGTATTATCTTCAGTTAGATTCTCATCATGATTTACTGTCATATTAACAACAGTATTATTTACATACACTTATGAAAAGATTATTTACAGCAAACAAATACTCATCAATTGATAAGTAATTGATATCACTATTGATATGTTCGTCACTAGGTACGCTTGAAGCTATTACAAGTTCACCTTAGTCGATAAACGGAACGAGACAATTATCAGCGTCCAGATAGGCTACCTTGAATCACAAGCGGAAGACAGAAGGCTTCGTAAACGTAGAAAGTATATTCTAAAAACACCCAGCAATCAAAATACAATCGAGCACACAAATCGCGTTTATTTATACAGCATAGAAACGTCCTTGGGACAGTTAAGAAAATAGCACACTAAAATACACAGCAGTTAATCACAGCCAAGAATGTTCCTGGTTGGAAATGAAATCTTAAGGTCAACTGATCAGCCCATGCTCGCAAACGTGAAATCCAAAATAAGGTATTTACCAAGCGAGTTTTGGGGATCTAACATCCCTAACAACTATTAACACCATTGTTATTATTTTTATAATTTGAGTTTACAATTATCTACTTGCTGGTATTTCGAACTGTCTTGTCATCCATCTGTGTTCGTATGATGTGTTCGTTCAACCTGTATTTTTTTCCCTCACAATTTGAACCACTTTTTTTCGATCGAAACATTTTACTGTAGAAGAATGCCTGGATTTTAGGCAGTAGAGTAATCCAGGGGTAGTAGTGTTTCGTCCTTTCATGGGATTTATCCAGTCCGATGTGTGAGTAGTAATTCTAGAGCTAATGTGAGCTGTTGAGACCATTTACTAGCCCGGTTATCATCTACTACAAAAATACTTCTAACAACAACAACATGGCTATTGTATTGAAACAATCCATAGAAGATGCATAGAAGATAAGTTCTTATTGGTTTCTCTACTGGTAAAATTTACAGAAAAAAAACTCTAGAATGAACGAATGAACGAACTAGTCAGTCAGCTGCAACGTAGAACTTCGTACGTATGTACATAAGTTCATGTTGCCATACCACATTAGCATAGAGATGCAAATGTCAAATCAAATACCATAGTGATAAACATAGTAGAGGTATTAATGGTAATGAAGAAGACTAGGATTCGAAGATATTATTCAATAAGTATAATTCAGTGAAATAAGGTTAGTAGTACAAATGTAGAGGTGCTGACGATTCTAGAAGATTAGGATTTGAGAGAGCAAAATGAATGGATGCACTTGCGCCATCGCAAACGATTCTGAGCCATGCCGTCCAAGGTCCCTAACCATTAGTGACTTTCGTCTCGTGGACCTCAACATCTACCAACATGACTCAGTCCACTTGTCAGTGACTTCATGGATTTGTGCCATGTTTTAGTCTGGCCGCCCCTAGCTTTCTTCCAGCCTACTCCTAAACCACAAAACATAGCTCGTCGAGGCAGTCGGTGGTTAGCCATTCGTCACACATGTCCCAACCACCTCAACTGATGAAGTTTCACTACTTCATCTATTGATCTGTCATCCTTACCTAGAACTCGTTTCCTAACAACAGCATTACTTACACGGTTGTCCCATGGTATATGAGCAATGCTTCTTAAACATCTATGATCGAATACTAGTAACCTACGAATATCTTCTACTCTCACTGACGATGTTTCGCATCCATATAGGAGGACGGAGCGAACTGCTGTGCAGTACACCCGTCTTTTGGTTAGCGAATAGATATCTCGCCTACGTCATAAACGATCGCCATAAAATAAAGTGTACAAACTCTTGATCTGTTACATTATTTCAAATAGATAAATGAAAAATCCATAGAATAAAAAGAAAGAAAAAAACTGAAGACCGATCGCTCTACATAATTTTTCTTATTCATATGATCTCAAGAAAACAGAACTGGATCTATCCTTACACATTAAAATTGCTAGTAATTGTTAAAGCAGATAACTATAGCTCATTTAAAACAATTGGTCTGTTTTTATAAATTTTGATAGAACAGTGAGAAAACGTATAGCTGATCTGAAGAAATGTGATATATTTGCTGCGCCAAACAATTCAAGCAATCTGATCAAGGCATTTTATGTGAAGTTTAATACAAGGTCAATTAAATAAAAGTACAAAATAGATAGATATAAGGTAATAATTGTAAATGAAGGAGAGAGAAAATTAACGTATGTATGAAAAGAATAAGAAAAGGTAGGTAACTGTCACATTACCCTAGACCATGACCAATGACTTAAAGATTACCAGCGTAAGTTCAATATTATAACAAACTGTTTCTGTTCACATAAGGGAGAGGGTTTAATTGACGAATAGCCAGGGCTTTCATAAACCTCAAATTCGTCCCTCAACATTTCTATACAATGTTTTGAAGGCTGTCTTGATGTCAGTTTTATGCCCTGTCTCAATTATGTGTTTTGCGATCCATGAACATGGTTTTCTATTTCCCACGTTTATCGGTTCATCTGACGTTAACTGATTTTGAAGCCACTTAGGTACATATTCCATAACCCTTGATTGCAAAGTCCGATTACTCCTCCTTATGTATTTGTGTTCACACAAACATGTAAATTGATAAATGCAATGGGATGTGATGTATTCATTCAGATCAACTCTACATCTTCTCACTGTTTTATCGAAAATATACGTCAATAAAGTAAACCAACGTTCTTCTGTTTGTTTTTTTCAACTAGAGTTATGGAGATTAGTGTTTTTACACATTTGAACTCATCCTTCAATCATTGTTAGATCATCGTTAGAAACCTGGAAGGAGTGAAAAGCGGCCGTTTCGTCCTGGTATGGGACTCTCATCCCTTGATCAATCAGAGTTAGACATTAACACCATTGAATGCCGGCCAGCTCAGTGATTCAGAGGTGAGGCCTTCGCTCACAATACCGAAGGTCCCTGGTTCGAATCCTGCGAGGTGCAGGAGTTGTGGATGCGCACTGCCACTGATGAGTCACATACCAGGACGAAACGGCCGTCTTTCAGTGCTTCCAGGTTTCT